CTTCCTCTCTCTGCTGGTGACGCCGGGTTGTCTCTCTGCCTCTCGTCTTCCTCTCTCTGCTGGTGACGCCGGGTTGTCTCTCTGCCTCTCGTCTTACCCATTTTCCTTTCCTCGCTCACGGCTTCCTAGGCCACGATGGTGCTGCTGCAGTGCAGGCCGTGGGATTCCTGGGCCCGGGAGCCCTTGGAAGCCGAGCCTGGCTCCCGTCCGCCCTGTGTGTCTGCTGCACTAACTCCCACGCGCCAGCTGCCCAGACGGGATGCTTTGTCTTGACTCAGAGGAACGATGCCCGTAGCGACTCACAGGCGAACAGCAGAGTCCTCGGGACGCCGGCTTCTTTCTGTTGTCGGGCGCTCTTCTGATTGGGTTGCTGTCACCATTCCCTTACTTGTCAGCGCACAGTTGGCCTCCGTGATTCGAAGTGATGCTTCTGCTCCAGGGCGTGGGTGCAGAGAACCCCGGGGGTGGCCAGTGTGCCAGACTCGGCAGGCTGCGGGGAACCTCTGTCCTAGATTCTCTGGAAGGCTCTGGAGGTTCAGCCGCACGATCTTCCTGGTCCGTGGCGCGTCCCATTTCCTGCCGCACCACGGCCCTTTCCTCTGGCTGTGTTTCCATGGTTTCCGCACGGCCTCTTCTCATCCGCGTGCTTTGGAGACCTCCTCTTTTGCAGTGCGTCAGCCGTGCTGTGGAGCCCTTCGGTTTCCCTCAGGACGCTGGTCCGCCCTGGCTGCTCTCCTGCTCGTTCCGTCAGCTTGGGGCCCACGTGGTGTTCCCTGGCTCTGATGTTGTCACTGACCCATTCATTCCATGTACGACTCTCCTCTGTCCTTAAACTCGTGCTGAGGGTAACGGCCCAGCCACTGGGAGAGAAAAGCCCCTGAAAGCCACGGTCCCCGTTGAGTCCCCGCCAGTCTCCAGCCAGCACCAGCACCAGCACCCAAGCCCTTCACCCGCTTCTTCACCAGGAGCGCTACCTCTCCCTTTCCACTTTCCAAAGCTGGGAGCTAGAGCAGGACTGGAGGCCGCCTCTGACTTGGTCTCCAGATGAAGGTGTGGGCTGGGCTCTCGGCGAGTTGCTGAGCAGAGCGCTGCTGTGGGAAGGTGACTGTGAGGGGGAGGCTGGGAGCTGCTCCAGCCGGATGGCCTGAGACGTCTGACGGAGCCGGCTGACCTTGGGAGGGCTCTGCCCCGGGATCTGACCCTACCTCCTTCCCCACCACCAGAGCACGAGAAAGACCGGCTGTGTAAGAGCGCCGACTACATGAACCTGCACTTCAAGGTGAAGTGGCTGCACAATGAGTACGTGCAGGATCTGCCCGCCCTCCAGGGCCGGGTGCCCGAGTACCCAGCGTGAGTCACCGTGCGGGCGCTGAGGGCTGGGGGAGGCTGCCGTTGCCTTGGGTGGTGGGCAGGGGGCCAGGACCCTGAGCCCGTGCAGCAAGCTGTTCTGAGCATTCCTGTGGGGAGAGGAGAGGACCCCGGCCTGGTGAAGCAGCGAGGCCCAGGGCACAGGGCCCCCATGGCCCCATCTCCTGGTTCTCCTCTGGCTGCAGGTGGTTTGAGCAGTTTGTGCTGCAGTGGCTGGATGAGAATGAAGACGTGTCCCTGGAGTTCCTGCGTGGGGCCCTGGAACGGGATAAGAAGGATGGTGTAAGTGGGGAGTTTGGACTGCACGGGGGTCGGCTCAGGTCTCTGGCAATTAGTGGTCTGCAGAAGTTTCCGAGTTTTCACTGGCTATCCTTGGCCTGCACAGTCCTGAAGGAGGGCTGTTGAGGGCCACTGACCACCTCTGCTGGGTAGAGCCCTTCTGAGCCCTCCAAGCTTGGGAAGAAGGTAGCAGCTAAGGGGGGTGACCCTGTGTGGCCTTGTTTAGTTCCAGCAGACATCGGAACACGCACTCTTCTCCTGCTCTGTGGTGGACGTCTTCACACAGCTCAACCAGAGCTTTGAGATCATCCGGAAGCTGGAAAGCCCAGACCCTACCATCCTTGCCCACTACATGAGGCGATTTGCTAAGGTGACCCGGCCTCCCTCCGCACCCCGCTCGCCGTCACCACTCTCAGCTTAGCCACGGGCCTGAGCTCACCGTCCCTGGGAGGTGGCCTGCAGGGAGAGCCTGGTACTCCTCCCACCTCCTGTGTGTGTGCCTGGGGCAGGCAGATGGATCTGTCTCGGTGCTGTTCTGGGGCTGAGAGGGAACTTTGTCTCCTACCGTCAGGTTCCCCCTTCACTTCCGTGTTACTGGTCCGGGGCAAGAGGAGGCCCTCAGTGAGTTCCCGTGGGAAAACGTGGCGTTCCCTCTCCTTACCTTTTTCCCTCTCTATTAGACCATTGGGAAGGTGCTGATGCAGTATGCAGACATCTTATCAAAGAACTTCCCAGATTACTGCACCAAGGAGAAACTGGTGAGGGTCAGGCCCTGAGGCCCCTGGGGGAAGGGAGTGGAGGACGTCGGAATCCTTCTTGCTTTCGCGGCGTCTCAGAGCTCAGGGTTGGGGTGATGCTCCTGACTTCTGACCCCACCAGAGCTTTGCTCCCTGGTCTGTCTGTTCTGTGGTAACTGAGCTGTGTAACTGGTTGTAGTCCCGTGAGCTCTTTGCCACCAAATGATAAGAACTGCACCAGGAATTCCTCTGAGCCTCCACTTAGCACTCTGTCCTCTGCTAACCTAAGCCTTTATCTGATTTCTTTTCTTAAATGTAAAAAATGTAAAACATTCACAAATCATAAAGCACAGTGGCGTGAACACCTATGTGCCCACATCCAGCTTAGAAGCCAAACATTGCTCCGAGTCTTCATCTAGCAGTTGCCTGAATTGACTCGGGATCAGAGAGAGGCCTGTATGCTGTGTGCTGTGAATTCCCTGTGGCTCCCAGCACAGTGGGTGAAGGGGCGGGGGGCCAGGCTGATGGGCCCCGTGCTGGGAGGAGCCGCGATCCAGCAGCTCTTCTGTCTCCACAGCCCTGCATCCTGATGAACAACATGCAGCAGTTGCGGGTCCAGCTGGAGAAGATGTTCGAAGCCATGGGAGGCAAGGAGGTGGGTCTCAGAGTGGGCGCCTCTGCCCCACCGCACCACCCTTCGTTTCTGGGCCCTCTGGCCACAGAACTCGACCCTGTGGAGGCCAGGATGTCCGCCTGGAGTCTGGGCTGACGAGCTGAGAAGTTTGAGTAGGCAGTGGGTTAGAGGCCCCAGGAGGAGTGGGGCACAGGCAGCGAGCAGAGGCTAAGAGAACCAGCTTAGCCAAGCCCACCTTTTGTGGATACAGTTGGACCCTGAAGCCGCAGACAGTCTGAAGGAGCTGCAGGTGAAACTGAATACAGTTCTGGACGAGCTCAGCATGGTGTTTGGAAACAGGTCAGTGGCCCCAAAATCCACCTGCCGGCCCTCAGAGCCAGCAGGGGTCCGGCCAATCCCAGAGTCCATCTCCCACACACAGCCACTGGCTGCAGGAGTATGGGTCTTCTCCTGCCTCTGCCGGTCCTGCCGGAGCTGCGCCACGGGTGTACTGGAAGGG